ACCAACACACAAGCAAAACACAAGCGTGCCAGCTCAACCCGACGCCAACCCTTCTCACAGCGCAAGGCCTACTTGGATGTTCAACCAACTTAAGTAGGTTATAACCATGGTTATAAGGGTAAAACCTGCCAGTTGCCCTAGTTCTAGCCACGATTCTAGTCTACTTCCCTGATGTTGGCAAGGAACATCCAAGCAAGCCCTTAAGCACCCTGCCGAATCCAACACCTCTGGCGGCTCCGGCACAATGATCCCACCTGGTACTGCGAGAAAGGCACACTCCGATCTTTTCCGCCTGAGTGAAAGCCTCAAGTGGGTGTTCTTGGTTGACGTAAGGGGAGCAAAAAATGAAATCATAGCAGTTAAGTGGGGATTTCGACCACTAAACCACAATAAGCAAAAATGTAAAACGCTTCCCAACAACAACCATGTGTTTCTCAAGACAGGGGACGCCTAAAGATGGTTGGTGTCCATTTCAGCGTTCCTTTAACAGAATGAAAACTGGGAGTCTTCTACTTTGCCCCAAATAGTTGGATCGGTGGGCCATAACTGAATTGAACTACTCTGTCAAACCCTCGTCCTGCCCAAATCAGAGCCGCTTAGGGGCCTCTCTCAAAAAATATGAATCACAAATATGGGTGTGTATTTTTGGACGGTACCCGTTGCGGGTAGGTGTTAAAGGGAAACGAAGAGGAAACCACCTACCTGGAGGGTCCCTTATTCCAAGACATACCCACATGCATTTCACAGATCATACTCAATTGAGAGGCCGTGGACTCAAGTTACCGGTTGCGGAACCTTTTTCGAGCCTCGACGATGCGGGAGATCCAGCTCCTGCGACAAAAAGATGTGATTGTGCTCTCGTCGACGTGTGCGTGATGCGATCAAGCAGATTCAGAAGCTACGCGGAAAGCTGGCACCGTGGAATTACCTTGAGTTGTAGGCTGTGTGCCCGTTCTGACATCCAGAAAAGCATACCGGGATGATGGGCCATCAAGCTCGAAACGATTCAGCAATCATCCCCAACACTGCCTCAAAGTGACAAATTACTCTTTTTTAAGGAAAAACAACATGAGTGGCTTACCTTTGGTGTCCCTCTAAACCAAGCCCTAAAAGGGTACCCACACAACAAAAAGCAACACAAGCCTCCCATGCGAAGCTGGGAGCCCCAATCAAGAGCAACGGACAGGATTTCCGGGATGATGGCTTGGGGGACCTCCCCTAGCTGTTTTGCATTGGGTAGCCCCCCATCGATTTTGTGACAGGTAATATTGTCGGGTATATGCCACAGGTGACTTGCAAGCAACTTTTAACTTGTTCACCGGATCCAGCATCATCGTTAGGGAAGGCATCAGCATCACTCAACCGGGTCTCTGCTTTTTGCGGGCAAACAATTGGGCGGCATGTTTTTTTTGCTATTGGCACACACCTCTTATTGCGCATGTGGCACAATCGTGCTGCTTCTGCCTGAAGCGGCCTTGTTGCTGCCTGACAACCCCACACCCGTTTCTGCGTCTCCGTGTTGAGGGGTTCTCTGACAATAGCCTCTTTGGAACAGTTGCGAGATGGATGTGGCTCATAATTGAACCGCTGGGGTTGCACAGGTTCTAGTCTTTGTTCCCATATACCGAGGTACTATTTTGGGTACCAGTTTTGAGCCACAGCCAAATGTTGCCCGGGAAATTCAGCATAGATCTAACTCGGAGCTTAAACAAGCTCTTCTTACAAAATGCCGCCTGCTCTCCACTCACTTTAGCAAGCTGAGGTTCCACACTACCAGGAACGGACGAGGAGCCCATAGTTTGCCTGGCTGACACAGTCAATTGTTGTTTACGTAGAAGAACCAAAGCCGCAATCCAAAATCCAAAAGCGGAATGCCTGCAGGAGCTCACGCCATAATCGTTGGACTATTGCAGAGTCACAAACTGTTGAGGCTCTGAGCCGTGGCTTGCATGAGGCTTTGGCAATCTTGCGGAAGCAAATCCATGCACTGCCCTCGCAAGAGAGAAACAAATACCAATGCTTCTAGCTGCAGAAACTTGGCTGAGTCAGGTGCCATTGAAGCAGCTTGTTGTGCAGGCGGGGCATGGAGTCACACTTCAAAATCGAACGCCGAGCCTTTCGTTGACATCTGTGGCGAGATGAAGGCTCTCCTGCCATCCAGTTCAAAGCTGAAGCACCGTGGGCAAAACTCTGCCGCTTGAGCAAGCAGTTCCTTGCCCACAAACTCGACTTGAGCCATAAGTGTTGCTTGCATCTCAGCCTTCGATTGATACCACATGCTCCACAAACCAGGAAGTTGGGAGATGCGTCCTGTCTCGTTCCCCCTGCACAATGGTGAGATGTACCAAGTCATGGTGAACGGCAAAGTCCAGGATCTTTTGCCTCAATGACAACTGGCTCAAGGTTTCCCACGACGGGTTGGAGAGGGGAAGAATTCGGTCAAGAACATGTGCAACAAATGTATTAAATTGGGTGGCGTGGCCTATATCAAGTCATTGGCTGTCTCTGTCCTGAGATGAACATGCAAGCTCCATAAAGTGCTTCCTTGCCTTGAAAGGAGTTTCTGCGCGATATTCTCTACGTTGAACGATGTCGTGTCGTGGGTAGCGATTTGCCAAATGTACGCGTCGACTACAGGCCAGGGCTGTTCCAAACACACTATGTGACTTCGGAAGACTTTCCTGAGTGGATGGGCCAAAAACAAGCTCTCACTTCATGTTTGAATATAATAGTCTTAGTCTTCCCAGTGAGTTTAAGCCCATTCAAAAACAGCTTGCGGTTTCGGCATTTCCCAAACAAAGACCACTGCTTGCTGCCCGGCCAGTCATCGCTGGATCGGCTCCGCGGAAAGGACTTCCTGGAGATGTGCCGTGGCATTCGCTCAAAGCATGATTGGAGTTAGGCCCAGACAACTGGCCTCATTATTCTACCATGATCAAAGTCACCCACTAAGTGGTGGGTTAAAGGGAAACCGCCCCATTTCCTGACTTTGATAACCCCCAGACACCGTCAAAATAATGACCCCGGGATATAGAATGTATATTTTATTGTTTGCTTCACTTTGAGTCACTGGTAACATGTAAAATGCATCCTAAGTCTACCGCAGAAGGTATGTTTCGTCTGGTTCGTGGAAAACAAAGGGGACCCCAAAAAAGCAAAAACACAAAAAGGGGAGCTAATTCTCGGGAAGAAGGAACTTGCCATCCCTACCAATAAAGGGAGAAAGGGCTGGGGACCCAATTCCATTCTTTGTGTCTTCCCCGTAAAACGGAAATTGGAATTCCAGGGGTCACCCCCTCCCTAAATTCCATTTCTAAGGGGGCGGGGATGCTTGCCCCAATAGTAGAGTCAACACGAGCAGAGATGCAGGAAACAACAGCCAAGTGCCAGATGGTCCAGCCATTGGTCCAAACATTGTTCTCAGTCTTGCGCCACAAATACATCTTTGGGCTTGGAACGACCTTAGGCCTCAACCAAGCTGGCCGAGTTGGGATAGAGAAGGGTCCATCTCTGAAATAAGCCCAGGTAACAAACAACAAAAACGGACAAAAAGCCCTTCCAGCAGGCTCTGCGTTTCCTTGTTGCCTTGGTATAGCCTCACACACACACACACACACACACACACATGACACAGGCGTTTCAGCTCCAAACCGGAAAACAAACAACAACAAAAAAGGCGCACGCGCGGTTTCGGCCCCCCGGCCTGGCTGATTCCAAGAAGGCGCGGCGCCCAGGCCGGCCAGCCTTCTTCAGCTCCTGCAGCATGTGCCTGGGACGCAATGCTCCAAGAGGAGCGAGCCAGGTCCGGTCCCAAATTTTCCAGGGGTAGCTTCTGGAAAGAATATGTTGGGCCATTTTGTTGAGTGTTTCCAGGAGCTATCAAAGTCAGAAAGAAACTGGGGTGGTTCTAGGGATAGCTTCGGAATCCTTCTTTCCAGGAATCCTTCTTTCCAGAGAACCTTCAGAAACCGAGGGAAAACGGCTGGGTTCTGAAAAGAACCATGGTTGAAAAGAATAGAAAAGGAATCAACCCCTAGAAATATCTCCGGTGGTGAGATTTGGACATGTATTTTCCCCAATCAAACGCGTCCCTGCTCCGCCAATGTATGTGGGGATGATCATCGAAGGATGCAATGCAGGAGACATGTGGAACTGCAAACATTTCAGCACTTTGATGTTCGTGAATCCTCATGTGCAAAACCTGTGCAATCACAGCGTGGCTGGTTGTCTTCTCCTGTACTGGCAGGGCGCTGACACAGACAGGTTCAGAACAGGAATGATGCGCATTGAAAGTAAGGAGGTGCGAATGAATATGCAACAATAATGCGTACAGTACTTGTGCGCATGTCTGCGTGTACGTTATTTAGCCATAATATCTGCACACATGGCCAATCGGCAAAACACGCCAGTGGCTTCCATGCGCCCAAATGAGTTCTTCAATACGAGTGTGAATCGGTCTTGTAGCTGTCTCTGTTGGGTAATGCTCGCCTAGAGGGAAGCTATATCTCCAAAAGTACCGCCGTGGGACTTCAAGGGTGCCAAGACTCTGTAACAGTAACAGAAACCCGTGAAAGCTGGAGTGCATCCCCTGCTTCAAAAGAGCGGCCAGGTCCGAACATCTGAAAAATTATGGGTCTGCTGACATGTCGCATGCTAACGACTTGGGACACAAACACATGGAGCGCCAAAAAGGCGCGGCGCGGCACGGCGGCACGGGCGCGCGGCGTTTCTGGGCCAAAACACGCTGAAGACCTGTACTCACGTCAGCCGTCTTCTGGACCGGGCTTTGGGCACCGAATTTTTGGCCTTTCGGCCAAGGGATGCTATGCACAGAGACGTGGTGTGAACCGCGCGCCTTTCGGCCAAAGCCGTCAGGGACCGGACTTGAAACCCGGTGTTGCCAGGGCCAAGGAATTGGAGGCTTGGTGTTACGTGTTCTTTGTTGTTTTCTTTATTATTATTATGATTATCATTGTTAGTATCATTGTTATTTTGCTTGGGTTTTTTGTGACTTGTTCCAAATCCAGAACTTCTCCCCACCAGTCAACAAACAACCGATCGAAAGTCCTTGCCAAGGCGTTGCTGACAAGCTCAGAACTCAATCTCCATTGTGAAGTCATAGTTGATGGTGGGCACGACGCTTGAAATGAACTTCAAGAACACAAACAATGCCTGAGAGTGACATGTGCAGGAAGCACACCCACCATCACCCTTTCCCACTTTGACCCCGACTTAACAGTTCCCCAAAGCCTCAAGAGGCCAAGATGCCAGGTCGTGTCTGGGGGTCAGGCCTTGTTCAATCCAGTCCTGTATCACCTTCTTCATCACCGCCGCATGTTGGCAGGGATGGATGGAGACCGTGGGCGTTCCCGTCAAGGGATGTGGATCCACCGTGACCGTCTTGGACTTGTAGTCGCTGAGCACGTCCTCATAGACCTCTTCGGGCTTGAGCGGCTCACCCATCTCGTTGTAGCCAAAGAGCCAAAGCCGGGGCGTCCGGTAGTACTTGTCGTATGTGATGGACAGGTCCTTAGACATCAAAGCAGCTGAGGTGGCTTCTCGCAGGCCCAACTGCCATGTCACAAATGGGCGGCTCGTCTTTTCTGGCGGTGTATCTTTGCTGGTTGAGGGAAACCAAAAGGAACATCGCTGAACCACTTTTGGGGGTCCAACCTGAAAAAAGTCACAAACCCAAATGCTGCAAGGCTGCATAGGTCCGAGTCTTGACAACATCCTTGGCTGGAATTAGGACCCCAGCAACAACTATATATATATATATATATATATATATCTTTTTGCCTGGTTAGTGGAAAACAAAGGGACCCAAAAAAAAGCAAAAAAGCAAAAAGGGGAGCTAATTCTGGGGAAGCATCTATGTCGGGCACTTCGGCGACTACGAGAGGTGCCGCGGCTGGATAGTCGTCCTGGGCCACAAATAAAAACGCAGGCTCTCCGAAGCATCGGCCAAGCCACGCTTGGACGACCGCTAATACCTGTCTTTTGGGAGATAATAAATTTGTCATTACTGTAACTCCCTATAAACTCATTTGTCCATTCGGTAAAACATAACCCATAAATGCTGTTCCCGTTAAGAAGAAGTAAATAGTAATTCCAGAAAAAAAAGTAATAGGATTATAAAAATATGAAGCATAATATAGATCTTCCAAGATGTAGACATATAAAAAGAAAGACAGATGATGCACCATTAGAATGAAGATAACGTACACACCATCCATAATATATTTATCTAATTAAAAATAAATACTAAAATATGCTGAATTAATATCTGATGTTACATGTCAACCTAAGAAGATTCCAGAGATAATTTGTAATAAACTAGTATTAACAAAACAGATTACAACAATAAGTTATAATCATAGGACAAGGATATGATTGCAAATCAGATTTCATTCGTAATACAAAATAAATATTCAACATGATAATAATATACTTATAATTATATTTCTTATTTATGGTTCATTTGTCCTTCGAAGAAGCTTTCCAGGTGTTTTGCCACCCCCTATGGATTTACACATCTTACGCAACACTTACCAGCCTCCTGGTGCTACAGTCGTATGGTACTTTAAGGTGGGCGTTGAACCAGCCTGTCCTCCTGCAGCTGCTTGTCCAAATCACTGAAGTCCGGGAGGTAGCCACCGCCGCCGCCGCTTCCGCTTCCCCCACCCCCCAGGAAGTCGTCGTCAGCATCTAAGCGGAGGCTGGGCCCTGCCTCCTCCTTACCTGGCAACATTTGGTGACAGCGGCATCCTTTTCTTCACAGGGTAGCCATGCCTTGCACATCCTGCCATAAGCAAAGCAAGAGGAACCCCTTTCAGCAGGTCTCCCTTCCAAATAGGCACCAGGTCACAAGTTCGAGTTCGGCTGGAGAGTCAAGAAGCAAGAAGTGAGAAGAAAGAGATGCAGCTTGCCGTGCGGGGCGCAGATTGCCCTTCAGTTCTCGGCTCGCCATTCGCTCCCAAAAATAGCCTCGCCGACGGAGGCGCCTTCGGCCTTAGGAAGCCTTTGCGGCATTCCCCAAAAACCCGTGATGCGCGTGGCTTGGAAGATTCGGTCTTGCATCGGTTGTGCATGTGCGCGTCGTTTCATGTCCGGGCTTGCGGTAGCCAAGTATGCAAGTAGGTGGCATGTTTTGAAGAACAAAAAAAACGAGAGGCCTGGTTTAAATGGAACAACCCCCATCAAAACCAGTGAAACCCATCTATGGTTAACCCAACTTACCTGAAAGGACAGCTGTGAGTTTTTGTTTCAAGAAATCCTGTTAACTTAGATCCACAAAGATCGAACAGGACAACCCATGCAGCTGTGCTCGCCACTGATCTTTAAGTACGCGGAAAACGAAAGGTTCCAACCAACAACACGCATCTGCTGCTACTTGGATGGGAATGAGACATGAAATCACCAGTTTTAACTGGTGCTTTGTTGCCGTTCGGGGACCAAAGCCTGGGCTCATACCACATTCCCTACTTGCCGCACCAAGCTTAGTTGAGACGCCATCCTAACCCCTAAGCCTTCAGCTCAATGTCGCCATAGGCGAGGAGTAGCATGGCAACTGCCTAAATCCAAGAGAATGCCAAGCAATGTTGACAGGCAGAGCCGTTTAAGCCCGCATGACTGTATGACCTTACGAAGCAAACAAAAGGGACCAATGGAACCTGCATTTGGGCTTGTCTGCACATTGGGGAACCCCCAAAGTGCCAACACCAGTGGCTTCCGATTGCACTGAAAACCATCCAAACAAGTAACCTCGAAACAAAAAAACGACACAGCCTCTTTCCAACAGTCCTGCAAGAGTGGGCGGAGGGGTTCCCAGAAGGAATGGTTTTCCAACACCCTTCTGTCAGCATGAAAGGACCTTGGGTATGGGTCGAAATCAAACCATCAGGAATTGGACCGCAGGTTTTAGTCCATGTTTCCATTTAGCGAGCGGACAACCCATTTTGGGGTTTCCCCATGTTTGACCCACAGCCATATTTGCCAGCGCTAGATCCCTTGAAAACCAGAAACCGAGCCCGAAACCTCCCAACTGAGCCTATTTCTGCGTTCATTTTTTAAGGGTAAACCCATCCCCTATGGTTTCCTTTAAGGGACACTCCAAAACCTATTTTTGACCACCACACCCATTTTTTGGACCTCCAATCTTTCGTGACTCCCCGGCCTTCAGGCGCGAGGTCATCCACATCCCGGAGCTCCCCGGCGGGGCTTCGGAAAATCTCGGGCGGCAGAAGCCAATCGTCCTGGACGATTGGGGTGTGGAGTTGTTTGGACCCCCAGCATTTTTGGGGTTCCCCTAAAAAAGACAATCCAGGGTGTGATGTGTTTTGAGGGTACAGCTACCCCTTTTTTGTTTTACATGGAAGCCAAAGGGGAAACCCCACAGATTCTGGGCGTTTTATATTAATTCTTACCTCGTCACCTCGTTTCTTATTTTGTTTTCAGGTTTAGTGCCTCGCCTCGTTACATCTGGCTTGGGTTTTAGCACCTCGTCTCGCCTCGCCTCGCTATGTGTCTGCTGTGGAATTAGGACCTAGCTTCTCTAGCCTTACAACAACGCAGCATAAGGGAAAGGAAGAAACCCTCTGCGCGGACGTAGCTTGCCCGGGGGTTCGAAGAGTTCCAAAAGCGTCAAACAGTCAAGTTCCAAAACATTTTTTTCGGGGTTTGAAAAGTTGATTTCTAGACGCAAGCTTTTTGGTGCGAAATCAATTCGGGGCTCGGAAAAATGATTTCAGTCTCGAGCCTTTTCGGGTTTCAAAACAAGTGATGGGGTGTGAGGAAAGACTCAATGAGTTGCATTCCGGCTCGAAAAGCTGTTTATCCAAGCCCGGGCCGTTCCAAGGGGAAAAGTTGATTTTTCCGTCTTGACCTTTTTAAGGTTTCAACACAAGTGATGGGGTGTAGGGAAAGACGCATTCCGGATCGAACAGTTGCTTGTCCAAGCCCGGGGCATCGTTTCAAGGGCAAAAAATGAAGTCCTAAAAACAACTTGTCGGGCCAGGCAATCGCTTTTGGAAGAGATCAAAGGGAACCCCACCAAAATACTGGGCACTCCTTTATTTCTACAAAATCAGCTCGTTGCTGACCTCGTTAGTTCTACTAAATCACCTCGTTGCTCACCTCGTTATTTCCCAAAAGTAGTGAGCTTGGCTGGGCTCGTTCTAAAGCGTGCAGACAGAGTGTACAGAAGGGACGATTGCATTGATGATGCTTACGATGGGAGCAGGGTTGCCAAACAAGCACCTACTATGTCAAAAAATATTTGACGCGACGCCACCATATTGAGGCATGAAACAACCTCAAAAGCGTAGTGGTTACAGGTTGAGATGCTAAGCAGGATCGGGTTTCGAGGCTGGAAAAGTCACGGCACGGTCCTCGGTCTTGATCTTGTCAAGCGCGGAGTCAAGCGCCTTTGCCAAGTGACCATGGGTGCAATCAAGAGCTAGTCAAATGCTTGATTTACACATTATTGCAAATGCTTGCTCCAGTGGCATCAAAACAACAGATGTGAAGGAGTGAAAGAAAACAGCAAAGGAATCCTTCCAGGAAGAGCAGAAGCAATGAATCGTCCCCAGAGCAGAAGCAATGAACCGCTTGGAGCAAGTTGCTCTCACTCGGTCCCTGCACGGCACATTCCTCGTAATCAGGTACTGCTTGTCCTGCGGCAGGTAGCTCGCGCGCAGTGATGACTCCCCTGACTCCCATCGCCACGTCGGAAACTTGAAGGTCAGCCTTGGAAAACCCCGGCGAGCTGTGATGCCACTCTCCAAGCGCCAACGATACATCGGTCCTCAAAATTCCTGCTACAAGCTAAAAACTTTTAGTGGATGAAAAATGACACCACCACTAAACCCTAACCTAAAACCCTAAAAACCACGGCTGGGAACCGAGATGTCGAGGTTTCACTTCAGCTGAGCTGGCATGCAGATTTTTGCATGCCACTGTCTGTCTCTCCACGCACCCTCATACGGTGTCATATCGCGTTCCGGGTGCTGAAGGATCAAGGAAAGCAATCCCGAGTTGCAACAAAGTGTCACAGGATGCTACCCATGCGTACCCCACTTTTCAGCATACAGCATGTCATGCTTCACACACACAATGGCCCGTTGGCGGTCAACGTAATTCAATGCGAGTCAATGATCATCCTGCTTTGCCCACCTTGATCAAGAACACAGTGCTTAAGTTTGACCCTACCTGGGCGCAGGCAAAGCTATTTGAAGGTCCAAGATGGCGACCCAGAAACTTTGGGCCCGCAGAAAACCCGTGGAGAGCTCGGAAAATCAGTTTAACACCAAACTCAGAGAAGCAGCAGTCACCCCCAGTATCTTTCAAACTCCCCTGAAGCACTGCACTTTGCATGCTGGCGAATTGCAGGTAAGCAATTCCCAAGAATAGATGTCGATGCTATTTGAGGTTAGATTTCCAGGTCTAGTTGTCCTGCCACAAAGGTGAATCGATTCTTGATCTGATCGGTCATCGCAAATAGCATTGCCAGTCAGTGCTGCATGAGTCGCTGTCAAGCTGGGGGTTGATCAAAAGGTCATTAAAGATGGTATGGCCATTGGTTGAAAAACCACTAAGATTTTATTTCCCACATGGCAAAAGTTACCCATGGTCAGAACTGGGGGCCTTTAACGGAATATTGATCAACCCTCAGCTACCTCAAAACTCCGCAAGCAAACTGCAGACTGAGTCATTGCCAGGCAGCTGGTCGCCTGCCTCAACAAACTCCTCTGGCGTGAGGGTACCGCTTTCCAAGAACTTGCTCTCGCCGCTGGCACTGGTAAAGACATTCCTTGGACATTTGGTGACGGTGCTTATGGATTCTTGCAAAACATCTAGGCAATTGGGACTCTTAGGCGAACTTCTTCTGATGTTCTGACGGTGGGCCTGCCCTTGATAGTCTTCGATGGTTCTCCGGTGGCAAGCATGTGTGTTACTTGAACGCTGCTATGCATGGGCCAAGATGTCGGCAACCCCTGACAACCTCGAGCGTCCACATGCCTCGTGAAGCATGGGTCAAAACCTCCCGTGCCTGTTTCGACAAGTAGGCATACCTTTGCAAATCCAAAGCGTGAGTGTTGCCCTGTTGACACAGGAGGCTCTGCTTGTGTCAATGGAGGAGACGCAGGATAAATTGTCCAAGCACAGAAGCAGAATGCCCCAGCAGCTACAAGCCCACTGCGCCTGCTCATCTACGCATCGGGACAATTCCATCAACATATGTTACGTTCCCCAGAAACTAGCAACGCAAGCTGGGGAATGCCACTCCGAGCCTCTAAGGAACTCCTCAGAAGCCCGTCTCGAGGGTTGAGTCATAATCAAAACCTGGCAGTAAAAGTGGGTCACCCAGAGCCATGTAACGAATCAAAATGGCGGCGAAGGCACCCATTTATGGCCAGTGGCTTATCTCTTACTAGCCTTCATCTACCCGACTCGGTTTTGAGCACTCGGCTCAGAGCCAAGAGAACCAAAGCCGAAGGCATCGGAAACCGAGGCGCACAGTGCTGCGGAGGGCGTCCCCTATGCGGTGCTTCGCGATGCTGAGCCGCTCCATCCTGCTGTCCAACTGGCAAAGCGTAGCACACCGCTCAACGGGGCGATCGATTCGATATGGGTATGGCTCAAATTACAGAGCTGGGGTTACGCGGGTTTTAGTCTTTGGTTCCATTTACCAGGGTGCCATTTTGGTACCACTTTTTTGAGCCACAGCCATATGTCAAGTAAGTGGCTGGCAAGCCTGGTTATAACCTTACAACCATGACGTTTGTGGGTGATAACCAGGCTTACTAACCACGTACTAAGTACACTGCCCCTTTAAGTAGTCTTGCTGGTCCGATAGGCAGAGAATGAGAAAGGGAATGACTCCGAGTAAAACCATCCCCTATGGTGTCCTTTTTTTCGGGAATCCCCCAAAGGGTTCATTCCCATTCGAGCAAGTGGAAGCAGCCCTAAGAGAAGGGAGCTGCCTTCAGGGTCAATTGAAGGGTAAAGTGACATCCTCAAAGGGTCCCTTGACTAGGTCCTCCAGTAGAGAGGTTAAAATAAGGGTACCTTTTTTCTGTAGTCTATTTTAGTAGGGGAACCCTCCCCAAAAAAAGAAACGGTAAAAGTTGGCACGATCCTGGGGGACCTAGTTGATACCTTACATTTCCGGATTTCAAGAATCTGTACTTGGCGGATCCCCTTGAATCAAGCCCAAAACCGTAAACATGAACTCACTTGCCCAAAAGACCAGGAAATCAAAGATGATCACCTTTTGGGACCTTTACTAAAAATGGACCAAAATGGGAAAACCAAAAGGTCAAAAGGTCAAAAGGTCGGCTTTGGACAAGTGAGTGAAGTACCAAGACAAACCCTCTGGGTTACATGCTGTCACATTGGAAAATAGTGACAGGATAAATTGGCTCTCTCTAGCGAACAGCAACGTGCTGCAGGGGTCCAGACATGGGCGCAGGGTCAAAGGATCTCTGGCGCTGACGGTAGGCCGACAGACCCCGGAAACCCGATTCTTGGTCAAGGCACGGGAGCCACTGAAAAAAAAGCGGCTTTCCTTGAGTAAACAGCTGCGGGGAGGCGGGCGAATCGCAGGGAACAACGTGGGACCTGGTGCAAAGAAAGACTATATACTTCAATTGTCAATGGGACTCAACAAGTCCAATGGATTTGCACCCCACCAATGGGCAAAGCTGGCCAAAGCATGCTGAAGTATTGGCACGAGCACGCCAACATGTCTCGAAACGAACGGGCCGTGTTTTGTTGTTTGAACTGGAAACCAAGAGGAGAACCACCTTCTTTTTTTTTGGGGGGGTGTCCCCTAAAAAACGACACTCTCATATTGATGCTGAGCTCCCCATCCGTGACACGGTCTTCCGGTCTTCCAAGTTGGGCCAAGGTTGTCTTACGAAGATCACCTGCAGCAGGAGACACTGGATGTCCCTTTTACTGGTGGGATCCAACAAAATTGCCACTTTTGGAGGTCCGAAATTGAGGGGCCGCGTACAAGGGCCTCAACAGAGTTGGCAAAACCGCTCAAAAGGCCGTTCCGTGTCTCCACGCGTAACATCGGGAAGGCTTCACTTGCGGCTTGCGGCAGAAATGCTGCCAGGAGGCGCAAGCTCCTCACCTCAAGTGGGTTGACCAGCTGTGGGGATGCTCAGAATGCAAATCGCGGGTTCCCTACATTTCCCCCTTGAACATCACCCCACCAGAAGGAAAGTCAATCTATGTTGACGAAACAAGATGATGTTTACACCCACGGGAGAAACAAAAAAAGAACCCTGTCTCTAGAGGGAATAAGGCCAAATGCGACTTTTTTGCGACTAATCTATCACTGTCACCTGGCTCAAGCCTGGTTATACCCCACTTAGGAAACTTATAACTTATAGCCATGGTAGGTGGGTTGTTCCCATGTTTGAGAATCACTGACTCTAAGTACCCAGTAGCTGATGTCACTTCAACTTCTCTCACTATTTGAGTGTCTTTTCTGAAGGTTGGCTTTATCATGGGGATTCAAGGGACCCGCTGCTTCGAGACACACCTGGCCATGGGCTTTTCAAAATCCAAATCGGTTAGCCCCCAGCAAACATCCCAATCCAACCACTAAAATAGGATCTAACATGGGTGGCGAATTCACCTACCCACCAAAATGGGATCCCAAAACGGTTTTGACAGCCACCTCTCTTTCGCTCTCGCGCGCTGGGTGCCTGACGAACATCTTCCTTGTGCACCTGCGCGTTGATGGCCTGCAGCTCAAGCGGCTGACCGCTCCGGACGCTTCAGCCAAAATGCCCGACAACGCGTGGCAGTCGGTAAAAAACCACTCTTGAAACCCAAGCTTCACTCAACATATGGATGGACCTCGTCTTTTTTAGGGGGCACGCCCCTTTTTCGGTGGTTTTGAGGAGAAACCAAAAGGAAAGCCGCCATTTTGGCGGCGTCGCCCAGATTTAATTAGACATGACATTCGAGCAGTAATTACTTGTTGTGGCCAAGTTGCGGCAAGGTCGCAGTTGTCACAGCCTTAAGGCATTCAAGGGCTGCGCCCCAAGGCAGAATTGCCACATGCAGCCGTGAACTCAATGCTCCAACAGCATCCCAATCAAACAACTCACAGGTTCGTGAGAATACCGGCCGCCTCAGCCTTTTGGGGCTTCTTGCTTGGCCTGTTCCTGCCATGCAAACATAACCCCCATCCGTCCCATGTTCTTACAGGAGTCCTGAATCCTAGCTCCGAACAGCTGCCTCTTCAAAAGCAAATTTGGGTACCCTCCAAACCACCAGCTCACCCGTCGACCGCCGGGAACAGGGAGAAACTCCTCAGCGAGCGACGCCCACACAGCGGCCCATTGGCTGCAGCGCTGCAAAAGCCAGGCGTGCCGCTCGGGGGCAGCTGCTGGCCTGAAAGTGTGAGCTGTCGGTGCCTCTGGGTGTCTGTGTCTCTGTCTGTGTCTATGTGGCCATGGGCTTTTCAAAATTCAAATCGTACCAGTGAACATCCCAATCCCAACTAAAGTCCCGACTAACATGGGCGGCGCACCTATCCCAAAATGGTACCGTTGGTTTTGACCCACAGCCATGTCAATGTGGCGATGTCTGTTTTGTGTGTCCGTGTGTCCATGTTTCCGTCTGTCCAGGTCCACTCTGTCCGTATGGCTGTGTGTCTCTGTGTCTGTGTCTGTGTGTCTGCGTCTCTGCGTGGTGTGCATTTGCTTGGATGATAGTCATGATTCCCCGCTGATGTGCAATATTAATCAATAAATGTCAAGCTGCAAAGCTTTATTTCATGCTGTTTGAACATGTTGGTTGACGGGGTTACTTACATTACTTCTATTCTACGCAGTTCACACAAATCAGGAGACAACCAACTCACTCAAGATCCATGGCCCAAGGCACCCCCCAAAAGAATGGTTGACCCAATCTGAATGACAAATCGTTGGGTAAAAACAAGGGCGGTTCTTTGAATCCCATGGTGTTGATGGTGGCAACTGAAATCCAGGGACCTTCCCAGCTGAGCCAAGTCGCTGCAGCAGAGCTGTTCGAAGGCCACGCGGGAGACAGGCTCCTTCTCAAGAAATGGGAACCTCGTCTTCGGAGTTGGGGGGGGGTTGGGGGGTACCATCATTTGGGGTCTGGCTCAAATCTAAAGAGAGTTTGTGCAAACCGCAGGAAATTCAGTCTTTTCCATGTACCAGGGCAAGCCATTTTAAGTACCTGGAGTCTCCATGGCCCGGAATCAAAAATGGGTCAATGACCCCAAAATGCTGGGTAATGACCCCATTTTTCAAGGGCCATGGAGACCCAGGTACCCCTTTTGATCCACAGCTATTCAAAGGGTACCGTCTTTGTTTGGACTTGGTACCTTCTACGTTTGAAGTTGGTACACTCCCGCAAACCAACATGGAAGCTCCCAGGACCCCAAAATGGAAGACTTGGTTCCATTCACAGGATCGGCCTTCTGGGAGCTTTCATGTTAGTCTGAGGGAGTGTACCCATTTATGTTGTGGTAAAGCACAACTCAAAGGAAACCATCATTTCTCTCACCTTTCTTGCTGGTGCGACAGGTAGGGAACGACCATTCCGGGTGTTGGGAATGAACCGGAAGGGAATCCCCGAATCAAGAAAGCCACAAGGGATGGTCTGTAGGGGAGTTTTCCCGCATTCCCTGCTGAGAACCAGCAAGTATTTGGGTCTCTTTTTTGGAGTCGGCGCCCTGTTTGGGGTGGGTTTTAAGAGGAAAACCAAAAGGAGCCCATCAAAAAACTGCGGGGGGGTCTCAAAACGACACGCCCACGTGAATGCAGTTAAGCAGATGTGCTTTTTGGCTTCTTTCAAGCTAAAGTTGCAAGTGCCACAATATCTTCACCGCGCATGTCCTGGAGGCCTCAGCTTGGTCAGCTTGCGATGCGCTTGACCACTCAGGAATCGCTGCCGGTGGTTTGGTGGACTTCCGGGGTGGTTGCCCATCTACCCTCTTCAAGAACCAGGGGTTCAACCCAAATCCAAACCGCCAATCCGAACTTCCGAACCACCAACTAAGGGTTACCTGACATGGCAATTCGAAAATCGAGCCCAAGAAAAGACAAGAGCATTCGCTTCCCCTCGCCGTCGCATTGATCAATGTTCGATCCGCATTCCTTGCTTAAGACTCCTGTTCGAGGCGGTCTGCTTACCGCGGTGGTTCTTCTGAGGGTCACTCACCCGAAACAAATCCCGGGCCCCTGGACTTGGGAAACACACAACCTCCCAAACCTTGGTATCTTGGTTGACGTTGGAAGGGGAGCAAGCATCCAAATTTTAGCAGTGAAGTGGGGATCTCCCGCTAAACCACCATAAGCAAAAATGGGAAACATGTTTCCCAACGACAACCATGGTATGGTAGCCAAGCAACTTGCTGTCTTGTTGCAGCCCACCAAAAATGACCAGAACCCAACAAGCCGCAACCAGAAACTGCAAAAAAAAAGCGAACACGTCGCCAAACACCGAAAGCTCCGAACCGCCTCCACCACGGATCTCTGTTTTTGCCCCACACCCAGCTCCCCTTTTCCAGTGCACCCCTCCTCCCCCAAGTACTCCAGCAGCTGCGCACGGCGGCATCGCCGGCTTTTGCAATAGAAGGCGGAGGACTGGACCCGCGCCAGGCTCCTGGAGCTCGAAACTCTCTCTCTCTCTTGTGGCCCTCGGTTCGTTTTGAAGAAGAAAATGCCAGGGCGGTGGGTGGATTTTTGTTGGGGACCATTTGGGATCTGTTGGGGACTTTGTTTGGGTTGTTTATAAGTTTTTTGTTGTTTCGGGGTTTGGGACTTCCTTAAACATGGGGCCCGAATTTTCAAGACGAGTTTGGGGGGCATTTTGGGAGTTCCTCCAAACGGGACCCGATGTGTTTTAATGGAAGACTTCAAGGCTTGAGGGAAGCCTTGGTAGCATTTTTTGGGACCCCGCAAATACTTCGGGTCGGAGGAATCGGTGAGATTTGGGCTTGGGCGTCCCTTTTTTTTCTGGGAGGAAAGGGGTCGCAAACGTTTTCCTCAAAATCGGACACACGAATTTTTGAGCGACGACTTGGTGCCGATTTCGCGGGGGAATCGGACCCTTTCCGGGACTCAAACGCTGTGTGTTCGCCCAATCAACCCACCAAGAAAGGGATAGCCATGGATAGACCAAATCGTGTGGTTTGTCGGAGAAAAAAGTCAACCCCTACATGGATGGCCACCCAACCCGGGAATTCTGCGCTTGTTGGTCTGTCAGGAGTCCAGGCGTACCATTAGCTTTCTTCTTTGCATCAGCACGGAGACTGCATGTCGTCATGAGAAAGACAAAAAATATGATCTTGGCAGCCCGTAGTGGAAGATCACACAGAACCAGGCTCCTTCCCGAGTTGGGGCGGCTTTGGTCTTCCCGGTGCATGTCATATCTTTGGGCCAGGTAGTTTCTGCCTGCTTGAAATGCAGACCTGCTTCTTTGTCTGGTGATTTTGCTGGGGCGATGGGTAGGGACTGACCGTTCCGGGTGTTGGGAACGAACCGTTTGGGGATTCCCGAAACTCTTGGGGTCCCCTTAAATGAAACCATTAGTTGGATGTTTTTTCGCGGGGGCAGTCCATTTCTCATTCCAAGTTCAGCTCGCAGAGCATTGCCTACCGCAAGCCAGGGCCACTGTGCGAACTTTGGGCCTGTCTCTTTTTGGGAATCAGCGGTCTCCCACACCAATTTTGGGTGTTCCTAAAACCAATCGAAAAGGGGGTACCCTCAAGAAAGACAAGCCACCCAATGTGTGCCCAAAAGATGCTGCAGCAAACACGTAGCACTCCCATCGACTGGCACCTGAAGAGTGATGGCGAAACGTCCTGGTGCAGGAGCACCTGCACATGAAACTCCATTTTGTGGAAGCCCCCGATTCAAAAAAAACATGTCGCATGGATTCCTGCAAGTGCCATACAAGTTCGGACTTTCCGTCTTGATGGAATTCTGGCGGAAACAATATACACATCGCATTGGTATGGATCTGTCTCTGTTTTTTTGGGGGGGAAGGGGTAATGTGTGGCGGTGTTCAAGGGACAAGAGGAAAACCAGCTTTTGTTTTGCCGGGGGGGTCCCCCTTTAAAAGACACACCCATATACCACAAACCAAATTGCCAATGCTCGGGCGCACACATCACGCGCAACAAGCTGAACAGAGCGACGTTCTTCGCGCCTGCTCTCGATTTTGCCGATGAGCCTGCCAGAAGACTCGTCTACAAAGCTCGAATTCGACTTCCCTATGGTGTTGCAATCTATTCGGCTGCAAGATTCCAGATCATGAAGCGTCCTTGAATGAAAGGCGAGTTTCTCAAAATAGTGGTCCACTTTGATGGTTTTTACAAGAAACCACAAGGACACCAATCACCTAGATGATCCTAGATGTGTCTTGTTTTGAGGGTATTTTGGGTTGGCTGAAAGGGAAAACCAAAAGGAAACCAACGATTGGAGTTAGGCCCACATATAAATGTATATTTTATTAATATTGTTTGCTTCACTTTGAGTCACCTGGTAAAATCAAAGATGTATCCTAAGTCTACCCCAGACAAACCCACCTGAAGCGACCTGTCCAACTCATTTAATGAGAAACGCCCAACAGAGAGCTGCGGATGCCTTCGTGAAGAGCAAAATGCAGCTTCCTGGCTGGCCATCGCGCCCAGCCCTGCCAGACTCCTCAGCGAGGAGTCTGAGCCAAGCCCGCGTCCGTGTGGCGATGAATTTCAAGTGGGGACCCTTTGATGGACATCATTTAGGGGATTCATGTCCACCAATCACTTTCAGGTGGTTGCCGAAAAACTCACAGCCAGAAAGAAATCATGATCGGAGAAAAAGAAGAAGAAACAAAAAACAATGTGTAGCTTGGTTTGTGGGGTCAACCACCAAAGTGTCCAGCCAGGACCCGCTGGGGCCCCCCCGCCTGCATGTAGCCTTCAAGGCTGCTGGGCACTCCGAAGTGCACCACACGGCCTGCGAGACGTCGGCGAAGAAGAACCCCGATCCGGGACCAGGGCAGGCCGCATGATTTTACCGTGATCAAAGTCACCCCCTAAGTGGTGGGTTAAGGGAAACAACCCCATTTTCTGACTTTAAATTTGATAACCCCCCGAAACCGTCAAAATAATGACCCCAGCCCAAGATAGGCTTCAACCCAACCAGAGCGTAGAATTTGAGTTTACCTGGGAAAATTATGGGCCTTTGGATTTGCGTTGCAAGCGAGTGGCCCCTCTGTTGAGACCCTGTTTTCACCCAATGCACTGCCCAGCCAAAACAAAACACGACACATTGTCAAGTTGTTGCGTGCAACATCCGGTGCTAAATGTATTTCTGAGTGCCTTCTGCCACATCTGAGCCTGACATTACCATGCCAACTGCAACGAGTCTCCAAGAGTGAGGAGCAAACCTCACGTCTGATTCAAAGTTCGAAAAGCTGTCTCAAGCATGCACAACTTCGGGATGCCGCTTGCCCAATTTCTTATGCTAAGGGCTAAGAGTACAAGTCACAGTCTCCTCGCTCGAAGCCCCCATGTTCAGTGGGGAAAACGTGGTAGCAAAAAGTGAAGTGTTTGCAGCCCCCTGCTAAAAACGAACAGAACCAAACATAAACACCAGACAAAAAACCCAACAACAGTGAAGAATCGGACTGCACCTGGCAACATCTTCGCAAAATGTCAAATGCTGGCCTCATGATTTTACCATGATCAAAGTCACCCCCTAAGTGGTGAGTTAAGGGAACCAACCCCATTTTCTGATGAGGATTAACCCCCCGAAACCGTCAAAATCATGACCCCACAAATGAGCCCTGCGAATGCCGGCAGAGCTCGACCGTCTCTCCACTCCAGCCCCACGCACATCAGGCTTGTCGATGCCCATGCCAAAAGCGATCGTGGCTGCCACCACCTCCCGGGTTTCGTTGCCCCGTCGAGTACATAGGCGGAAGATGGCAAATGCTTTCTGAGCTGGGTTGAAAATACGAAGAATGTGTTATGATACATTATGACAATAATGTTGCCAGTGCGGTGCCTGCTTCATTGGAGACGGGACATCCACTTCAATCATGTTTCAAATGAAATCGCAATATGAAATCGTGCATACGCGAACGACCAGCCAGCCATATGAAACCGCCTGTTGCCAGTGGGTATGTGCTTTCCTGCACAAAGAATGCGTCTCCTGACAGCAACGAGCAAATGCTCTTCAGCGCCTGAATCTTGTTCTGGCTGAAGTCATCCTGACATTTGGCCATGGGTCAAAACCAATGGGATCCCATTTTGGTTGGTAGGTGAATTCACCACCCATGTTAGAACCTATTTTAGTGGGGATTGGGATGATTCACTGGGGGTACAGGGTTTTGACCCACAGCCATTTGCGAGCCGCAGGCACAATTGTAGGCTCCCCTTCTGTGTCAAGTACCAGAGGCTGGTAATGCCTCTGGGGAACAAACACAGGGCACCGCAACAGCAAGATCAGTGGGTTGCTCAATATTCCTGGCCCCCAGTTTTGACCATGGGTTTTAGTGGGAAATATCATCATTTTAGTGACTTCCCCCAATGGGCATCCCATGAATGTAAAGGACCTTTTGATCAATCCCCATCAGCTAAACCAGAAGATTGACACATATCGCGAGCTGTGCACCTTTGGCTGAAGAGAGAAAGAAGAAAAACTGCGTGCTGCAGCAGCCAAGGAAAAGAGAGACGCACACTCTGACATGTGGAGCGAACACCAGAGTGCCGCATCCCAGATGCGGCTCGCATCCTCAAGAGCGAAGCCGGTCCCGACTGGCTTCAGCGGAAAACATGAGAAAACACACAAGGATTCAAACTGGCTCTATCGGACGATGAGATATCTGTGAACATGATGCATGCATCTATGCTGGTCGACTTGCTCAAAGGACCTGGAAATACAAGGTTAACCTCTTGGGACCACTTTCTTTCTTTCTTTCTTTCTTTCTTTCTTTCTTTCTTTCAGGATCTCAAGGGACTATTGTACCATGGTTGCTTGTAGACGAGGAAAACAGAAAAGGACGAGATCGACGTGCAAGCCAAAAACCGGAAAATCAAAAGGTCAGATCCGGTCGACTCGCTTTGAACAACTGAGACCCTGTTTATCATCTCTTTCTTTATCAGGGTTTGTCTTTTTTAGGTTGGACCCCCAAAATTATTTGTTTTTCCTTTGGTTTCCCTTTCAAACCACCAAAAAATGGGCACCACCCTGGAACACGAACCCGGCCTGAGCCGCCCAGCGCTCCGCTGGCGTCTTGCCACTATGAAAGGCCAGGGCTCGGACACCCCCTCGCCGAGCTACGGATAGGGGCGATCGTATCCAGGGTGCTGAACCGGGGCTCTAGTCATATTTTAGTAGGGGAACCCTCGACCCAAGGGGAGAGAAAGGGCACTGGGGAACCTAGTAAAGGGGCGGTCGAGTGCTTAGTAATGTGGTTAGTAAGCCTGGTTGTAGCCCACTGAAGGGACTTGTAACTTGTAACCATGGCTTTTGTGGGTTACCATGGTTATTACCCACTTGCTAAGTACCCTGCCCCTGTAAGTACTTGAATGTGTGTTTCCATCGTCAGGTGAGAACCCTCCCACCCAAAAAAAACACCTGGAACCTGACGTTCCGGACCTGTTCCCCTGAAAAGGAATTGGTGAAGCCAGTCAGGTTCCATGTTAATTGGTGGGCGGGTAGGTTACAACCGGGGTTACAACTAGGGCTTGGTCCCCTTATAACCATGGTTGTGATGACGTTGGTTAAACGTGCAGTACACTATGGCGAAATCGCAAGCAACCGGCTGCCTCTGGGTGTGTCTTTCGTTAAAGGATCCCCAAAATCGGTGCTTTTTCTCTTGGTTTCCCCCAAAAAGGGTACCCTCAAAACAAGACATACCCATATACTCTAAGATAAGTTCCACCGTAGTCCCCCCCAGAATGCTGTCACCATGAATCTTCGATGATGTTTATAATCACCTGCGAGGACCACGTGTCACTTTGCCAAAATCAAGGCGGAGTTAGGCCTTCACCATAAGGGGAGTTCCGGTTTGTCCCCAATTCTCTTGGACTGTCTGAACTCTGCTGTCGAGAAGTAGAACCTCTCTTTTGCCAACCAACTCTTCACATTTCCCAGTTGGCCCTGCATCGGAAAACCATGCAAAAATGATAGCAACATGTTGAACAACTAGATTGCCCCAGCAGCCCCAATCATGCTGCAGCGCGTGTGATGCTGCGCCTTGAACGCGCGATTTTCATCCTCGCACTCAAAAGGCACACCAACCAGGCTGCTCCACTGGTCGTATTCATCTTCTCCAAGCCGCTAGTCATGACTGACCTCTGTTTCATTGCCACCTGTAACTGCCAGCTCCAGCATCCCGCGAGCCAAATGGCTCAGAAAGCCCCACAATCCGCTGGCTGGTTCCTTGGTTCAATGATTCAAGCGAGAGGCGCCACAAAAGACCCGCGCTGACACAAGTAGAGATGAGCCTTGGAGGCAATTTGGGTCCGTCTTTTTTGCGGGTATCTTTTTTGGGGTTGGGTGAAAGGAAAACCAAAAACGAAACTCGCCAGGCGGCTGGGGGTCCACAAACAAAAAGACAAACACACATTTGATCAAGGTACTGCATTTGGCCGTTGTCGTTGCCCACTCTGCCGACTCAAGGAAGCCTTTCGGCTTCCAGTAAGCTCTCGCTCCTTGCCTTGGCGGCAACCTAAGCACCGGACACGTCGAGCGTTCTGGGACGAAGGCTTGCAACGAGCGTTCTGGGACGTCGAGCGCTCTGGGACTTATTATTTTATTAAAACTCCTTCATCACCCCAAAAAGACGCTAAACAACTCAGCGACGAAATGTCTTATCTTTTGATGCCCAAACCGTGACAACAGCTGGAAGAAGCAGGCAAATAAGACAAATACAAAAGGACGGGTGTGTCTTTTTTGCCGGGCACCCTTTTGTGTTGTGGCTTTAAAGAGGGAAAACAAAAGGAACGCCGCCAGTTTGGGGGTCCCTAAAAAAGACGGGAATAACAAACAAAACATGTTGAATATCTAACACCCCTAATCCTGGATTGCTGCGAGCTGATCGACCGTCCGGACGGGTGATCTGGGGACATGATAATTCTGGTCTGCGAAAACCCAAAACAAGGCACTCCGTTTTTGCACACCTGGATCCTCTCCACGGATCATGCTTGCACGATTTTTCTACAAACGTTGAACGCCATCTTGACATCTGTGGCGCCTTCGACCATACGCAATTTGCCTTACTTTGACCGGCGGCCAAACCATATGGGTCTGTCTTGTTTGGGAGCCCTAAATCACTAGTGTCCTTTTGGTTTCCCTTTAAAAAAGCCCCCTGGGTCAAAGACCTGGGTCGACGGTCTGGGTACCCCACAAAAAGCCGAGGAGCCACCCATAGGGTTTCAACCTCCGAGCCAAGGCACCGAGCCGCAGCGCCAAAGCCAGAAGCCCACAACCGCCGCACCCAGCCTTGGCCGTGTCATGTGTGTATGCAACACTATGTGCGTGTGGGTGTGTGTGTGTGTGGGTGCGTGTGTGTGTGGGTGGGTGGGTGGGGGTGGGTGGGTGGGTGGGTGGGTGGGTGGGAGGGAGGGAGGCTGTGTGGGTGGGTGGGCGGGTGGGTGGGTGGGTGGGTGGGAGGGAGGGGGGTTGTGTGTGTGTGCGCGCGTGTGCGTGTGCGTGCGTGTGTGCGTGTGTGCGTGCTTGCAGGTTTGTGTGTTTGTGCTTGTTTTTGTGTTTGTGCTTCGGTTTGTGCTCCTGTCTGTGTGTCCGTCGTGGCTACAAGCAGCACGAGCTGCAAATCGCGGCCTTTGGTGCAGCCGGGGCACAACGCCTGGACTGGCCAAGCGCTCTGATCCACGTGGACCTGGGCCCGACAAGCTTGGCCCGGGTGAGCAAATCGCAAGCTCCACGTCTACTGCGAGTACCAAATGCGGGTGACCGCTCAAAATGAAAGAGCTAGGGTTACGCAAATGATAGTCTTTGGGTCCATTTACCAAGATTTTGGCACATGTTTTTGAGCGACAGCCATATTGCAAGGTCGTTGTGCGGGTTTTGACCATGTAATGTTGTCTTCCCGCAGTCTTCCCGTAGTCCCACCATAGTCCGTAGTCTTCCGGCAATGTTCATGAAGTCTTCTCGAGTCTTCCTGTAGTCTTCCCATAGTCTTCCGGTTGCTTCTCATCCACGTTTAATTTTAAAGAGACACGATTCAAACGATTCAAACACCAATGTGAAAAAGGGCATCGTTTTAGGCTTCGTCTGGCCTTTCAAGGCATGCTCGTGCCCAAATGAGATGATCATCCTTGGCTTAAAAATCTCGCCTTAGCTTTGCTGGGGTGCTCACAATGCTCACTCCATTCCACTCCAATACATAGCTCTTGTACCAACCCTTTGAGTGGTAGCTCAGTTTGGTTCCTATCTCCAAAGAAGCACTTTTGGCCACATGCAAGGCTGTCCTACCTCAGTTCTTTCTCCGGCCTTCGCAAATCAAGCAACCTTGTTGACATTTTCTCACCTGCAAACATGTAGAACCAATCCAAACACCAGGGATGCAGCAAAAAGCGTCATGTCCAGTCCAAGCCACTTCACGCAGCGCCCGAACAGTGACCAGCGCGGGCGAATTGCAGTCGCCGCGGGACCCATCACACCGCAGCGCTTGGTCGAAGAACTGCGCTTCGTACCTCGCAGGGCGCGAATCGGATACGTGCCGCACAGCCTTTGGATAAACGAAGCCGGGGGTGTCTTGCGAAGAGCACTAGCTCCCTTTGGAACGCAGGCCGAGTGGTGCTCTGTGGGAAAATGCCCCTGTTCCCTTCCTCTGCCTTATCCTCGCCCCCTCTTTCGCCGTGCCATCTGCTCTATTCGGGTGGTATAATGGGGCCTGAAAAAAGCCAAGGTGCTTCATGGCTTGATCGTAGTGCGCCTGGGCGCGCTCGAGCTCATCTTGAGTCAAAGCGCCCGCATAGCGCCTCGGCGACTCGAAGCGCGGATTTTCTAGGAGCAAAGTGGAGAACAACAGCTACATAAAATAGATCCTCGACTTTTGCCCTACCTAGGAAATAGATCCTTAGGAATAGACACAGATCACCCTAGGAATAGACTAGTTCCTATACTTCTTAACCCTCCCTAGGCATAGATCCTTTGCTTTTGCACTGGCAATACCATCTGGCAAGCTGAAATACTGACTTCATTTGTCGGGGCTGACACCTAACAAACCAACTTCCAAATTGAACCAATTCAATTGAGCAAGCGAAGTCAAAAAACTTTCGGATCCCTGACTCCGGGAAACCACGTTGGGATCGGAATCTATGAGTACAGCCAGGGCCTCAGTTTCCCATCTTGACCTTTGCTGCGGCCGTGCTCCGGCTCCGAACCCCCCTGAAAACCGGGGAAGCTGAGCCGGAAGCCGCGACGAGCATCTCAAGTGGCCATACGTCAGCTTTAAGTGGTGAGAGGAAGCCTCGTGAAAGAAAAAACACCGAAGGGAGACAAACAAAACCAGGGGGCTTTTGTGGGATACAAGTCTAGGCTTACTAAGCACTCACTACCTGATCGCCCCTTCAAGTGCTTCAAGTGGTCCATGGCTTTGGTGGGTTATCTCACCATGGTTGTTACCCACTTGCCTGACGTACCGAATCGATCGCCCCTTTAAGCAGCGGTATGCGAGAATTGCTCAAAGGCACTCAAGGAAGCTCTCCATCTTCTGCGTGAGGGCGTGATTGGATGGAGCTGCATACCTTAGCATCAATAGGGGTATGGGTCAAAATAAAAACCACAAGGAATTGGTCCGCAGGGTTTAGTCAAGGGTTCCATTTGGGTACGCAATTTTGACCCATAGCCATATCGCCATGGCCTCCTTTTTTCGACTGGAAGATCCTTTGTCTTACACAGGAACCTTGCGAGTGGATCTGCGATGTGTAGGCACATTAGCAGCGAAAAAACGAGTGCCCTGCACCCCGCGATACCAACTCAAGCCAAGAGATCAAGAGCAAGTGTTCCTTCTGACAGCAAACTGGGAGAGCTCGCTTTTACATGCTCACTGATGAGCCTTGCTTTCGCAATTCAGAAATGCAACAAGCCAAATGACCGAAGCACAAGCAACAGTGCTAGAGGTCGCAGTGCAAGTATAAGAGCCGTATGCAGGATGGTCAAGACGAGTCTCTGCTCGATAAACTTCTTGTATGGATTATCCTCTGCGATGTGCTCAGTCTTGTTCACAGTCGCAAAGACCCAGTCATAGAGCCTTTGGCATGGCAGCACCGATGCATAGGCGACCACCATGTCCTCACCCCACGCCGACTCCATGAGAAAGGACGTGTACGCCACCGTGATAGCCTGAGCTCTTTCAATTGGACATGACTGGTCAGTTGCTTTAAGGCCGAAATATGCGGCATCCGGCCTTGGCTCAAAATGGGTCTGGCGCTTCCATATTGCAAGGTGCCATTTGGGGTACCATGTTTTGAGCCACAGCCACCTCTCTCAAACAAGTGTGTTATGTTACAGTACTAGTAGAGGCGTGGCTTAGCATCATTCCCAGTCGCAATTCTATCCAACTTATTGCAGGGTCAAAGGCATGTGTGTCCTTTTTGGGAAAATAGATGGCCCTGGTCAATGGAATCAAGCCAACCTAAACCAGTGCCATCTATTTCTAGCCAAAATCACCTCAAAAGGACGCCTATATGGTCAAAGGTCTTCGCTTCTTGCTGAAGAGCCTAGGGCAGTGTCTGGTGAACCAGTGCCAGTGTCTGCATTCAGGCGAGACCCCTAAGAAATGCATTTTGAGGAACTAAGATTAGAGGAATTCCAAGAAATGAAAGGTTGGGAGATAACTTGCTCCATTCTATATTTGGAGTTACAGGAAAGATATTTGGCTAACAGCTTCCACCATCATTTGTCAGGTATCTTTTCCCTTCGGTAGTTCTTCATCATGTGTGATCCAATGGAAATAGATTGACAAGCAATGGAAAAGAGAGGAAGGGAATGTATCTTTTATCCCATCTCTGTTCCCCACCCCTTCCACCTCTGTTCCAGGGCCTTACCAAAAGCTAAGAAGAAAACCAACAAAGAAGAGATAGATAATTGAGGTTACATGAGGTTGAAAAGGATAGATTCTTGATGGTGAGATTCCTTGTCTTTGTTGCAGCCCACGGCTTACCTCTCAATTTCTGGGATTTAATGTCAACCAAAAAGCCAACCAAACAGACAAAAGGAACGAAGAAAGAGTGGGAAAAGCTATTACAGACTTCTCTTTCCAGGGTCTTACAGTTTCCAAGATAAATAATTTGCAGATTAAAAGAGTTGATATGATGGGTTAATCCCTAAGACACGCTGTAGCCTGTTATCTTCTTCTCTGGAATGCTCTTCATCCTTAGCTAGGACATACCTCTCTATTTGGGAGGATCTTATGGTCGGGAGAAAGCTGTCTTCATTTCTCATCTTAGAGTTTGGGAAGATATAGGATTAGAAATAGAAAGAGATCCAACATGCCAACAGATAGACGAATGAAGGGAATAGATACCATGGAAGAGCGAAGGAACCTGAGGTAGGGATGGTTCACCTATTGACACGCCATCTATTGGCTATCACATCTTAGATTTATTGTTCATTCTGGAACTATTTTATCTTTCTCTTCTTTTCATTACTTCCTCATCTAGAAATCTGTCTATTCTTTCACCTACAAATGAACTCAACTAGAAAGCTAAGGAAAGATGGATCCAAAAGTGAAGGAAATAATATGAATGAAATTCCAGTCACTATTTCCCTTTTCTACATCCCTCACCAGCTATTTACTTGGCTCGGTTCCTGTCGTAATAATTAGAATGAATGCAAATGATGGTGAGGGATGGAGAGTCTTATATTTTATCTTTTCTTTATCTTACATCTTCTTTCTCTCTCGTGTCCCATCAGTGGTTAATCATAATGACAAGGACACGAGAAACAGAGAAAGAAGAGAGTAATGAAAGAAAGAGAGATTGGGACACACGGCTAGCCTTCCCTAGTTACCCCTGACCTGGGCTAGCCATCTTCTCTCTTCTCCGTCCTTGACCGCGGGCGAGGTCCTGTGACCATGAATAATAGCCCGCTAGGACGTAGGAAGATAGGAGATAGAGAAGAAAGAAGAAGAAAGAAGGGAAAGGGAAGAGAATGGTGTGTGGCGGAGAGTCTTAGAGATTAGGCCACACACTGTCATTCCTTTTCCCTTCCCATTCCTCTCTCTCACCCTCACGGCTGAGTCGCTAGGACGAAGGAAGTGCCATTCTTTTTACTTGCTTTCACTCTCTGTTCTCCCTCCTATAGACACCGAAGGCTTAGCCAGAGGAGGAGATTGGGAGAACAGATAGAGTGAGAGATGATTCCAGCCGCTATCATTTGTCTCTTTCTTTCACTTGTCCTACCACTTCATCCACACAGCGGCTGGGAGAATAGAGAGGTAAGATAAGGCCTCAGAAAGGAAAGAAGAGAAAGAGGCCTTACACTCCATTCTTCTTTCTCCCTTCTATCGACAGAGGAGATGAATGGGTAAGCCTTCCCTAGTTACCTCTTACCCTTGCCTTCCTGTGTGTCAGGCATTATTGAAGAGCGAGCGAATAGACGAGGGTGCGAGGATAGAGTGAGGGATGGCAGTCTTTAGGTGTGTTTCTTTTCTTATTCCTTCCCTATCTTATTACATTTGAGAGTCTTCTTATCATCGTCTATCACTCTCTGTTCTCTTCAATATCTTAGGATCTTAGAATTATGGAAAGGACTGGAAGGACAGGTAAAAGAGAATTATAGATGTGTGAGTCCTTGAGTTATCTTCTTTCTCTCTTCGTCATCCACATGATGCACTCGCGAGCCATAATAAAAGCTGTCTATTTTCTAATTCTAAGATCTACAATTCTATTATTCCTTATCCTAACCTTGTATCTCAGCTCTTGGTTTTATGGTCAGTGTACGTTCCTTCCAATGCAGGGAGTTAACCCGTGGAACAGAGTGGAGCCAGTTCTAGCATTATCTGAGGACATCTTTCTCTGGTCCATGTCATACCTTTTTCATCTTCTCCTTACCACCGCCGGACGGTGTCAGAGATCCATCTTCCTTCTCTTTGTTTGTCGTTATGTGTGTTTACGAAGTTAACGGATTAGAATTGAGATCCGAAAGGAAGAAGAACACAGAAAGAAGAAAGAGATAACAGCTCCTGACGGACAAGGAAGGAGTGAGGAAGAACTACAATGTGAGGAAATGGGAAGATGTAAAGTGATTTCTCATGCTATTTTCTTTCATTTCATCCCTAATTCTCTCCTCTTCATCATGTACTAGTTCTTGTCTTATTGTTCCCATGGAATGCATTATCCAAGAGATGAAAGACACTCACAGATAGTGGAATTACCTATAGATCGAGAGACAAGAGTAACCAAGTGAAGGGAATGTCCTTCCTAAAAGCATTTTATATTAGAATTCTATTCCTGATTCATTTGCTAATCCTTCATTCACTTCCTAGACTGTGTTATTCCGGTTCCTAAAGGTAGGATGATGAACCGAGAAGAAAGCGAGGTAGGATATGAAGGAGATAAGACCCAATTAAAGCGGCTGCAGGCCATTATTTCCTGGAATTTCCATTCACACACCATTCCTTTATCTCTACATCCTGTCTTATCGTTTACCTCTATCTTCTTCACTTTACCTCCTTTCTATTTATTATCCTAATGTAATTCATCTTAGCAAGGAAAAGGGATTAAGACAGTTGGTAATCATAATGACGAGAACTGACTTGAGGAAGAGCGAGGAATGGCCTCTTCTTTTATGGCTTTTACAGCATGTAATCTTCATTCTAATCTCATCCCCTTTTCCTTGGGTTATCATCTCTTTACTTCTTCTTTGATTGAAGATTCCAGAATTCTAAGGACAGCGAAGATAGAAAGAGCTGACCGTTAATTGTAAAATCCTTGACATGGCATCCCACACTCTGTGACCGAAGGCAAGGGCAAGGCCTGCAGGCAAGGGTTAATATCTTAGTCTCTCATGCCTGTCTTTTCACTCTCTGTTAGTTCCCTTTTACACTTTATAATCTTCAAAATGAAAAGATGTAAACAGATAATAAAAGATACACCAGATAAAGGAAAAGGCTATCTCTTGTTTATCATCCTTCTCTTACCTTTCTCTTCTTTTCTTTCTATTTAATTTTAGAAGTTAATGATCCAAATGAACAAGAAAGAAGACAATAAGATACAGAAGAGAAAGGGAAGATGAAAGTAAACTCCAGGAAATCCCAGATTAAGAGATGACAGACATCAGAGATAAAGAAAGGTCAGGGATTTCCAGGTGAGTTAGTCCTTACAGTTCCCACGACTAGAGAGGAGAGGGAGGTAAGGACTGGAACATCATCTATTTCTTTCACTTTTGGTTTACTTTCATTATCTCTTTTCTATTTCATTCCTAAGATGTCGATCCCAAGATGAGAAGATACAGGATAGATAAGTTCCTGGAGAGCCTTTTTCATCTGTTATCTCTCCCTCGTTCGTCACCATCGATGGTCAAGTGACCGAGGGAATAGTGCCTTCCTACCTTGCTCCGCCGGTGGCTGAGTCACAATGTGAACGAAGAAGCCGGGATATTCCTCTCCTCTTCCTCCATCCATTGGATGCAACTAACTTGAGGAAGAGGAAACAGGACTCTCTATCTCACTCACCCGCCATTATAACTCCAAAATGAATGAAAAGTGAAGGAAATAATATAAGACTTACAAATGCTGTTACGACAAAGACTCAGGAACTAGTGAGTGAGGATGAAGGAAGTGGATATCTGTTCTCATTTACTCCCCATCCCTTCCAGATGCTTGTCTATCCTAGAGATGAAGGGATGTGGGACAGGAATGTATCTCTTGGACTGGTCTTTCCTCCTTCCTTTCACTTCCACCGTTTAACCCCTCCGGCCAAGCCGTGGAGGACGGTGTCAGAGGAAGGAGTGTAAGGTATAGAATGGAGGCTGTCCCTCTAACCTCATCTCCACTCCGTTCTATCGGTTAGCATGTAGGGTCCGCGAGAGCGAGATGTGAGTTAATATCTTTGCTCTTCTTTCTCTTTCTTGTCTTTTATTGCCTACTATCTTCTCAAAATGAATTATCTTGGATCCCGCTCTCACCTCCAAATCTCTTTCCGGTGAGTGGATCATGATGGAGAATTAACGGTGAGATAGACCTAAGGGTCGCACCCAAAGATAACGAGAACAGACCTAACGACCAAGAGGGAGAGGGAGGTGTGTTGGAGAGGAGAAAAGGGATGAGAGAAATAGATTGTAGATCCCTTTCCATTTCCTCTCTTTATCATGTAATTCTTCTTTACTTTCATCTCGTTATCT